TGTAGTCACATACCTCAGTCTCCAGTTGTCTCAACTGCGGCAGCTCAGAACAAGAGCGTTGTAACTCCACTTTCCTCTGCTTGACTGTCCTGTCGCATTGCCTTCTTGCACTCAAAACGAGTTTATTGTGAAGTGACCCTGCAGCCAATCCGAAACTTTAACATCTAATATACTAAATCTGGTACAATAGGCCACAAGCGGCCGCAGTACAAGGGACTTAGTCCCACCCGACTAGCAATAAAAAAAATATATGTATACTAAATAATTCATGCTCAATCGGTTTAGCGACTTGCTATGTGCTGGACGGCCTGGGTTCGATTTATGGCAGGAGGGAGATATGTTTCTCTTCTCCATAAAATCCAGACAGACTCTGGGGCCCACCCAGCCCCGAGAGTAAAGCGGCAAGGACGTGAAGCTGATCACTAAACTCCATCTAGTACTGACGTCAACAATGATGGAGCTATATCTCCGCTCCCCAATACGCCTTCATGGTGCGATGTTTAATTAATTAAGCATAGGGAAAATTTTACTTTTATATCTAACCTTTGGAGCCGGGATAGCGCAGTCGGTATAGCTACGGGCTGGACGACAGAGAGATCGGAGTTCGAGTCCCGGTAGGGTCAAGAATTTTTTCTTCTCCACGTCGTCCAGACCGGCTCTGCGGCCCACGCAGCCGCCTATCAAATGGGTACGGTGGGGGGGAAAGCGGCCGGGAAGTGAAGTTGAACACCCACCTCCAACTAGTGCCGAGGTCAAGAAAATGTGGATCTATACATCCACTCCCCAATACGTCTTCATGGCATAGTGCTTAATTAGTTAAGCACAGAGACGACTTTACCTTTTTCTAACCTTTAGGCGTAATCTCTCACATTTGTGGTTTACTGCCCTGTCGACTGAGAGCGTCTGCAACGCTGAATGACTGGATGGTTGCGAATAATGAACTGGAAATAGTTTTGAAGAAAACGGTTCATGGTCTTATCGAGACACTATCCCGGAATTTGCCTAGAGAGACTGAGGGAAATGACGACACCATCAATCTGGATCCTCAGTGTCCCAGCTGAGATTTGAGCCGACAACCTCCCGAATAGAGAGCTTATTGCTCTGTCTGTAACTTGTAATGCTGGGCTGCAGCTCTCCTGGGGCTACAGTAACCCGTCTCAGTGTAGTCGCAGGGGCTCCCGGCAAACACTCAAAACGCCTCCCCCGAAACAACAATTCGTGCACAGTTGAAGTTTAAGGATTTGATGTGGTTATGAAGATTTCTACATTCTACAATATTAAAATGGACATGTATACTGAATGCATTATATGGTACCGAGCATGCTGGTGTAGCGGTAACACTCTATGTGTGTATGGAGGTGTACCTCGGTTAGAATATCGATCAGCACGCCGGCTTTCTTGATGGAGTTTCTTCGTGGTCTTCCCCATTCTCTCCAGAAAAAATGGAGTAATAGCTCGTTTAGGTCACGGCCTCTTCCTTTCAAATACTTCTCAATTCATTATTCATCAATCACACCAACATTCAACGTCATATAATCTGAGATAATGACAGTGCTGTACGTAGAGTAGACCGGAAAATACATTAATTCAATAATGTTTGGTAGAGCTGGAATGAGTAAAGAGGTTGGTCTAGAAGTAAACACTGAGAAAACTATGTTTATGATGCTGTCTCGTCACCAAAATGCAGGGCAAAATCATGACATAAAGATAGGGAACAGATGTTCTGAAAATGTGGCACAGTTCAGATAATTGGGAACGACGATAACATATCAAAACCTGATTCAGGAGGAAATTAAGAGGAGACTGAACTCGGGTAATGCTTGCTACCATTCAGTTCAGAATCTTTTGTCTTCTCGTGTGCTGTCAGAAAACATAAATATTAGAATATACAGAACTATAATTTTGCCTGTGGTTCTATATGGGTGTGAAACTAGGTCTCTGACATTAAGAAAGGAACATAGACTGAGAGTGTTTGAGAACAAGTTGTTGAGGAGAATATTTGGACCGAAGAGAGATGAAGTGACAGGAGATTGGAGAAAACTGCATAATGAGGAGCTTCATAACTTGTACTCTTCTCCAAGTATAATTAGAATGATCAAGTCAAGGAGGATGAGGTGGGCAGGACATGTAGCACGGATGGAGAGAAAAGGAATGCATATAGAATGTTTGTGGGAAAGCCAGAAGGAAAGAGACCACTGGGAATACCAAGGCGTAGGTGGGTGGACAATATTAAAATGGATCTTAGAGAGATAGGATAGGATGGTACGGATTAGATTTATCTGGCTCAGGATAGGGACTAGTGGGGGCTCTTTTGAACACTCAGCTCCATGAGTAAAGAAGTAAGTAAGTAAGAGCTGAAATTAATTCGAATGGCTCAGGGGAAGGTCTAATGGTGGGAGTTGGTGAACACGGTAATGAACATTAAATCCCCGTAATAAAAGGTAATTTCTTGTATCGGCACTTAGACATTTAGTTAATCCTACGATATGCTCTGTGTTTGCAGGCCTAATTTGATATTGCGCAGGACGTAGAATGTTCTGACTCTATAGAAAAGAAAAACGAAAACTTTACTTCCCCTCTATTGTGTCGCAGTATCTTAACTACTTCCCTTTACCCCGCGGTTACCATGGTAACTCAAACAAAAACCCGGTCCTCGTAGTCAGAAGTGAGTTACTACGCAGAGGGAATCTTTTCTTGCGGCAAATTTGCATTATCCTTCCATCCCACACACTTCAGTCCCCCACCCCCCCCACCCTCAACCTTGTTCATGTTCTCAACAGTTTTCGTTAATAATCTCTCTAAATGAGAACAAGTAATTAGACTAGGCTGTTAATTACAGTTTGGGGGATTGTTTTAAAGGCTAAAGTGTTTAGTTAAATTCACCATTTACAAGCGAGAGTGTAGGGGGCGGAGGATATTTGAGAGTTTTAGTTCTGACAAGAGTTTCAGGTTGAAATCTTGAAGACCTGACTACAAAGTTCGTGCCACCCTACCTCTCTGCAATATCCGAGTAGGAAAAGCGCGAGACGTTGCAACAGGAAAACTTTCCAAACTATGCAACACTTAAATCGTATTTAACCCTTTAATGACCAGTGGTAACTATATGCTCCACCTGATTAAAACACCAAAACACTACAATGTGCCCACAGAGTGTATTTGTGCCTTTGATATGGTTCTCACAGTAATCATTAACTGGTTGGTCTCTGAAGCGGTCTCGTAATGTGTTTCCTGTGAGGTACGGTCTGAATTTTTATATAATTTACAAGAGCTTCCGTCTACATGGAACAAAGAAAAGGCTAAATCCCTGTGTTCAAACAATTAAGCACCAAACCATGTAGACATGTGGAACAGTTGAGGTATAACTGCACCATTCTTGACCTCGGCGCTAGATAGATGTGAGTGGTCAGTTTCAAGGCATTCTAAGCCAGTGTTTTTCAAATTGTGTTACTGGTACCCCTACATATACCAACCCTGCTTGAAGGGGGTAGCTATTATTAACTATTGATATTGATACTGACTTGTGGGTGGGAGTAAAGCAAATTCCAGTCGCCCAGAGCACTCAGACCACTGTTGGCCCCCCGAATTTCTTATGGAGTTTAGAGAATATAATGCTGGACAAAAACACTTTGACTGAGACCCTCCATAGACATATCGGCTCTAAGCATGCAGAACGGAAGATCTCTATTCCACGAAAGACCCATACATATAGTCGGCGTCCAATTCGAGACTCGAACCTGCTATCTCTCGATCACAAATCTAAAACGTTACCGCTTAGCTAACTTTTTTTTCGGTACGACAATATAATTACCCATAGAATTAGGTTATGTGTTCCACAGTTAGTTTTAAGGGTTCACCACAGATGGTTCCTCAATGAAGTCGTTTACGGAAACTTTTAAATTAAGGAAGTTGGGCAGATTTACCATATAAACAGTTGACTATCAGGGTATAAGTAGAGTAGCTATGTTATGTACCAGTTTTGTGCGAGGAAAATGAAGACATCTGTCCTTAAATAGAGCGTCCATAAGATCTATTTTTCTTAACGTAAAAGTTATCGGAAGGTCCAGGCTTGTAAAATTCTAAGTGGTAATAGTGTCACATGTATTGCGGGAGGTTGTTGCATTAATTATAAGATGGGGTTTGGATTGGATGACTGGGTGTATTGAAATCCTATACATTCACAACTCTGGACTACAGGTAGCACAGCGCTATGCTATTCTACATGCTTTCCTGTTCACCGTTACACACGCCCAAGGGTTCTCAGGCTGCACTAGCCGTATCCTAGCAACGGATTTCCACACAGTAGTTATAGCAGTCTCACTGTATTTTTTTTATTGCTAGTGGGGTGGGTCTAAGTCCCTTGTACTGCGGCCACTTCTGGCATATGGTACCAGCCCCAGATGATAGGTGAGGGTGATTGTGGAGCAATTGGTGGAATGAAGATTGGCAGGGGAAACCGAAGTACTCGGAGAAAACCTGCCCCAGCGCCACTTTTTGCACCACAAATCCCACTTGACCAGACCCGGGATCGAACCCGGGCCGCCGCTGTCTCACTGTAACTGTAGCACATATGAAGTCTTTTCACAGCCTAGTTCCTTTCTTGCCATTTCTTCTCAGTCATCTTCGACTGCCATCTCCAGAACTCGACCCAATTCCTCACAGCAACTCACTCAAATGAATACTTCAACTGAACTCTCTCAACTTCCGACAGAACTCCCCTCTATATAGCCTCGGGCGGAACTCACGGAAAATACCGTATTTTCTTGTCCCGTATTGTTTTAGGCGTGTTTACTGATACGTTGCCTAGCAATAGACGTCTTACTGTTGCGCGCGTTTGCTCTCTCGGGAAAGTGCTTACCGAGCTGTTGCCTAGCAATGAGTCTATACGTCACAATATTGTCACACTTTCTTGCGCACACATTTGCAGTCATGTGTAAGCGTTATAAAACTTAGCGGCTCATCGACTTCTTCCTGACTGAAAGTGGCTTTCTTTTTATCGACAGGGAAAGATCTTCTGCACGACCTGGATGACACAAGCAGTAACAGGGAAGAACTAGGAAGTGACGTCAGCGACGATCGAGACGGGAAGAGCAACAATGGCAGCAACAGTAGCGGCGGCGGGGGCGGAGGAGGAGGCGGAAGTGGAAAAAAGAAGAAGTCAGGAAACAATGGGGGCAGTATTGGAAACGGTGGTGCAGGAAGTGACGGTAAAAGCGGGAGTGGTAGTGGCGGCGGCAAACCTCGAAGAGCAAGAACTGCATTTACATACGAACAGTTGGTAGCACTGGAAAACAAATTTAAGACAACTCGTTACCTCTCAGTCTGCGAGCGACTTAATTTAGCTTTGTCTCTATCGCTAACAGAGACTCAGGTAAAAATCTGGTTTCAAAATCGGAGGACTAAGTGGAAGAAGCAGAACCCTGGGATGGACGTAAATAGTCCCACTGTACCTCCTCCACCTGGGCCTCCAGGTCCGCCATTTCCGGGGGGCTATTCCCACCATCAGCACGCCGCAGCAGCCGCTGGCTTGCTATATTCCGCTGCTCACCACGTCCCATATCCGTATCCTCTGCCTCCCGGTGCTGGGCCGCCCGCTTCACAGAGTTACACAGGACACCCTTACTTTCATCATTTGAGCAATCACCACTCACTAGGGCATTCGTCGTGAGATTGCGATAGCTTCTTCAAGGTGAAACTTCTTGTAGTACAGAAGGGAGAAGAAGTGATACCATTCTTTTTCGTAAGATCAAATTTATTGGAATAGGGGCACAGTTTTAAGAGGTTTCCGTTTTTACGACACGATGATTCACAGGAAATCCCGTCCTCAATCGGATCGTACCGGATTGAAGCGCCGTAAATTGTGCCCAATTTTCCGACATGCGTAAATTCATTATGTCCGTTACATCGAAACATGCGTCAACATACAAATTCTCGTGTCGCAAATCCGCCGTAAATGGTATCGTTTTATGCCGGAGAGGCTTTCTGCTCCAGACTTGCTAGGTAGGGCTTACTGTCTGACGGGGGTGTAACGGAGGGCTCACTCTGGTAACGGTCATCTGAAGTCACATGCTACGAACTGGAGTTCCCCATAGGCATCCCAGCGTACGGCTCTAAACTGCGGCCACAGAAACAAGTCCCCTGCATCAACCCACCTACGTATACCTCCTTCAAGAGGTCATGCTTCCCCTCCAGTCATCTAGCTCTACATGGATGTTAGTGCTTTGGGCTCAGAGACACTGGTGAGGGCGGGGGACTGGATTGGGGCACAAGAGTATCCAGAGAGGGGGCATTCTCGAGGGCTGTCCTTTCCACCAACTACGGGATTTCTTCCGTGGCCTTAGTATAGCTGAAACAAACTACGCTATGTCACAGTACACTAACCAAGATATTTCCAACGGGGACTTTAAATGACTAACCAATGCAGGTCTCTAGGAAAGCGATTTACACGTATAACGGAATCTCAAAGGATCTTAGTGTTTCTTTTTCGTTTCAGACAGTTTTCGCTTAAAATAGGTGGGCTCTATGCGTTCATTATCACATTACGGTCAACTGTAACACGAGTTCTTCATGTAGCTTAAGATTAATGTGTGTCCCTACATGTTTCGACATCTACAATGTCATCTTCAGGAGAATACAGGATGATACAACATACAAACTAATGTCAAGGTAGTTATCTGTGGTTGTACCCGACTTCAGGACTCGTTAATTTGTTACGTTGCTTTACTGCACATAACACACATAATATATTACATACCGTACATTAACTTTGGGGGACGCGGTAGCGTAGTTCATTGATGCACTATGCTACAAGCAGGAAAGCTGCAGGTTCGAGTCCCGATTAGGTGAATTTTTTATTTTCAATTTACCTAATCTTTCCAGCCGCACTATGGTCCTGGGTTCTACTCAGCCACTAACAGAAATGAGTTCCAGGGGTACTCTTAGGGGGTAAAAGGCGGTCGGCGTGTAAGGCTGACAACCTCACCGTCATCTGTGAGCCGATTGTCTAGAAGATGTCGGAGCCTCAACCTTTCACAAACCTATGGGTCTCCACGGACTGTTACAAGGATAACTTTACTTTTACATTAATTTTACTACACGCAATTGAAACAAAGCGCTCTGAAAGCTACGTGGCTGGTGGCGTGCTGTTCATTACCTTAAGCATGTAGGGAAACTAATATTTGGCTTAAGCTGCATTAAGGACATCTCTTGTAATTGACTGTAATATAATGATAACACTATGGGTTACAACGGTGCACAACCTGTAACGTAAGTAGGGTCAGGCTAAGAAGGAGAGACGCAGAATCCTTGAAGGTTTCGGGGGGGGGGGGTTGATAACTGACTCGGAAGTTTCCATTTCTAATTACATTCAGTCTTGTTCAAAAGACATTCATGCAAAACGAAGTCTCTTCGCCGTTGAAATTGGCCATTACATAAATACAGTATTAGGCTACGGTGTGGCAGAGTAGCATTCACGAAAGGGTAATGTCGCTGTTAAATGAACGCGAGAGAAGGTTTTCTTACAATTTTAACTGGTCCTTTACTGGAAACTCCTGGTGTGTCAAAATATGAAATCAAAATATTTTTTACAATTCTAGAATCTATACCGGGATTCAGACTTCAAGACGGAATGTACTCGTTTTCTGCTTTGAGAGAGACATAGCTATAAGTTTACGATATTGTGAGATGCTTCCATTCAAAATTTTTCTGCATAGTAATGCTAAAATCAGCATTTTTTCTACTTGTTACTATCATGCAGAGGCCCGTTATTTTTCCCTCCCTGTTTTGCTTTTGAAATAACTAACCACTTAAAAAATTGTATCTTATCTGTGCAAATTTTGACTTTTGTAACTTTGTTCTTCAGTGATGTTGTACTGCAGCATCGTACCGCACGTCACTTGTTCTCACATGCAAACTTGTATAAACACCTTAAAATTCAATTTCCACAGCAAGCACCTGATGATGACCATGTCGGTCGATATGGAAAATAATATTAAAGTTAAAAACCAGTATGCTTTAAAATTTTAACACAAGTTTTTATGTGAGACGATGAACAGGAAGTGAAAATTTATTCTTCAATATTTAAGACAGAGTGAAAACTATTAAATGGAGACAATATCCTGAACCACTTCACCTACTCAAAAATTAATTACGTTTTAGAGAGAACACAACGAAAGGAACTGAACAGTACGAGTACAGAAGCCTGTGTGACCTTCCTGAGTTGATATTTGTTTGTGCAAATCGAACGGTTTACACATATGCATCCGTCATACAAAAATAATAATAATAATAGTATAAGTTCGCTGTTATTTTATTATTCCACTGCATGTTTCGCTTACAAAAAATCATCAACGTTCACCTCATTGACAACGATTCGTTGGAATCAGAACATGCAGTGGAATTATAAAAATACACCAAGTACGATTACGTAATTTTATTACCTAATTTCCGTGACAGATGAGTATCTATAATCCTTGGAACGTTTAACTGATGTTGATTGATTTAACCCTCACTACGTGACAACCCTGATACTGCGAACGGACTATCCCCGTCTTATATGAACCCTGGAATAACGAAATATGAATTTGCATATGATCTGTACAGCAAGGGTCTACCCTTAAGAACAGAGTCATTGATCGTTTCCATTGTTGAAGAACTATCGAAACAAAAGAAGTAAGAAAATTAGAAATTTTTGCTACTGTGCGGATCACCAAAAATGTACCGAATATCAATGATTAAAAATTCTTGTTTCCTTAACGATAGAGTAAACTATTGTACTGCTAAATATCACAGATGTGGTGATTCTGTGGAAATCTAATGTAGTTTTATTCATTACATCACAATTAGGGCGTGCCATAGCTCAGGCAATTATACTCTTGGTTTCTCATCACTGAGCCTCGAATTCAACCCACGGTGACCTCACGTGAGATCCGTGGCCTCCTAAGTTCAAAGCATTATGGGGGTTTCTCCGAGTTTCTCCCTGCCAACCACCATTCCAACATTTCTTCATATTATACGTATATCCTGAAATGTGTTATAACTCTGAGCAGGCAGCACATTATCACAACCTCGGTCTTTAAGTTGGGGGCTTCATCTCTGCTCAGTCACTTGACTGGTTACAGAGTGAAGACTTAAGTTCTTTTCTAGATCATAATTGTGTTAGAAATTACACATCGTCTGACGTATATTTAACATACGTTAAGGTTCGTGAGTGACATAATAAAACGTAATTTAACCTTTCGTTGGCCATTCAAGTCTATTTACGTGAACCAAGATGAAGTGAACAAGGTTTGGGCGCATTCTCTTGCACGTCCATAAATTTCGATTCGTACACAGAAATTTACGTGCACCCATATTTTGTTCGTATGCTGCCATCTATGAGGAAAAGACTTTACTTCTGAGGATATATCTGACGACAAGAAAGTTTGTAATCAGGGAAATGAAAACTCTTGACAGCATCTGTTGTAAAACGTTCTACCTGCAAGAATACAGCAATAATTAATCAGAACAGATCAATTACAATATACATTACAGAATATTCCTTCCACCCTTTCGCCAATGTTGTTTATTGTATTAAAATATAAAAATCGATTGTTAAAATTTCGATTCAGTTATATATATGAACATAAGGACAGAAGGTAACAATGCTTAATAGCTGTCCAGTATCCTGTGTACAACTATAAAGATGGCGTTATTATATTCATAAACAAAGGAATTTCAGACAGTTTATAATCAAGATAATGAGAATAAGGTAAATAGATCTAGTCCTGTAATTAAGTAAATGCGTGTAAATACGATATATGAACAATAAATAAACGTGAATTCGCTCACATTACATGAAGAGCAAATTATTGGTACATAAGGACAAGGCTGTTATATTCTTTAGCATTAAGAAATCCTACCTCTTGCCCATAGATTGTAGTTATGGGTTTCATAAGATTCTCAGAATAAAGACCTATTATTTACTTATGAAGTTATCTCGATACATTGTTTTCTGTGAGGTCAGGAACATATTTTTAAATATTATTCAGATGAATTTCATGCTTCATAGAGTTAATTGGAATTGATTATAATTGATCTATCAAATACTTCGTGTTCGCTGACACAGATAATAAATTATTATGCGATATTTAAGTAATTATAAGCATTCTTAAATTCACCAATGAATTAACCTTAATTAGACTATAAGTATATACTAGGATTAACATGTTGTATATCTTTCAAAAGCCCTATATTCAGGCCTAGACTTCAGGCACTTTACCTTCAAGTAGACATGAAAAATATCGCTTCCCCCGGCATGCTGGTATAGCAGTAATGCTACGGTCCTAATTCAGGAGGTTCTCCGTTTATCTCGCATCCAAGACATGGGTTATTCGGACTGAGATGTTTTCCCAAGTACCTCCAAATTACTGGATAATATTTTGACTATTCCATGACAGTTTCCTTCCAAAATCTCTCCAATTCATTCACCAATCACCCAATTATTCTACGCTATATTTTAAATGATACAGCAACGTCAAACAAACCACTCCGCAAAAATATTGTTTGCAGTTCCATATGCAAAGTGACTATAGGTGTAACTTTTACGATAAATTGCATTTCTTAAAAAGGTAAAATTATCCCTGAGCTTAATAAACCAAACGCACTATTATGGAGAGGTACATGGAGTAGTGGCATAGCTCCATGCATTTCTAATCTCGGCACTAGATAGAGCTGAGTCATCAGTTTCACACCCTTACCGCTTTATATACCCTGGGAATCAGCCCCCACTACCCAATATATTCTTTAAGACTGAAACAAAATGCCTGCCGTTTCCTAAGAGTCTATTAAGGACTGAGATTTGAGGGATTGAAGGTTGATGGAGGCAACAGGTAGCTCCGAAACTTCAGTTACAGCCCATTATGTACACATGATACCATAACCACAATCTGAAATATTTCAAGCGTTTTGCTGGGTCTGAATTTCTCATAGCGGTGACTATTAAGTACACTAATTTCACGTGACGCCGTGTAGCCCGATAGAAGTTCGCCGAAGTTTCAAAGTAATGCCTCCATCTTCAGAAACAAAGGTTGAGCGTAGCAAATAACTACCAAAAAGCTGGCGGCAAACAGAGTGCCCTGCTGTACGCTTCATTATTTCAGATCCTAGATCAGTGCGGGAGTCCCCACATTGAATCAAGCGCTGGCCAATCAGCGTGGACCATGGCAGCTCCTGCTCCCACTGGTTCGTGCGTCTCTAAGAAACAACGTACCTCCGACACGCTAGTCGTCAATCGTAGTGTAGGAAACGTCTACTGCTACGCAACGACTCGGTAATCAACTATCCGTGAAGAACTAGAGGAAGCACCTCTGTCCAGCTGGTGAAACATTCTACTGCAGTGGGGCAGTGTGTGTAGCCCGCTGACGTTGGAAGGGACACCACCGGGTCCATGTGGACGTCAAGAAAATGCGACTTTCCGATTCTAGTCCGCTCTTGGGTGCCTCCTACAATAGAATTACTCTCTTAAGAAATGGTTTATAGCCCTATTTCAATTTAAGGACTGCACAAAGTAATAATTTTCTGGAGGCTTGAACTGTGGCTTATCTTGGCCAGATTTCTGAACATTGTCTCTGTGCTACATTTAGACCAACCGCTTTAACTGCTTCTTCTTTCTACTATTTGCCCGCCCTCTTTAATTTAGACTTGGAATAGCGGACGCCTCGACACTAAATCTTTCGGTGACAGTAATGCTAGCTGTCGTCTTCTGCTCTAATTCATGAAGCAGCAGACTAAATGGACTGGCTTACTTCATGTTACTTGCTACATATAACGGGTCACTTGATGTTAATTTGGCATC